ACCACAGCTCCCACCACAGCTCCCACCACAGCTCCCACCACAGCTCCCACCACAGCTCCCACCACAGCTCCCACCACAGCTCCCACCACAGCTCCCACCACAGCTCCCACCACAGCTCCCACCACAGCTCCCACCACAGCTCCCACCACAGCTCCCACCACAGCTCCCACCACAGCTCCCACCACAGCTCCCACCACAGCTCCCACCACAGCTCCCACCACAGCTCCCACCACAGCTCCCACCACAGCTCCCACCACAGCTCCCACCACAGCTCCCACCACAGCTCCCACCACAGCTCCCACCACAGCTCCCACCACAGCTCCCACCACAGCTCCCACCACAGCTCCCACCACAGCTCCCACCACAGCTCCCACCACAGCTCCCACCACAGCTCCCACCACAGCTCCCACCACAGCTCCCACCACAGCTCCCACCACAGCTCCCACCACAGCTCCACCACAGCTCCCACCACAGCTCCCACCACAGCTCCCACCACAGCTCCCACCACAGCTCCCACCACAGCTCCCACCACAGCTCCCACCACAGCTCCCACCACAGCTCCCACCACAGCTCCCACCACAGCTCCCACCACAGCTCCCACCACAGCTCCCACCACAGCTCCCACCACAGCTCCCACCACAGCTCCCACCACAGCTCCCACCACAGCTCCCACCACAGCTCCCACCACAGCTCCCACCACAGCTCCCACCACAGCTCCCACCACAGCTCCCACCACAGCTCCCACCACAGCTCCCACCACAGCTCCCACCACAGCTCCCACCACAGCTCCCACCCCAACGACGACAACGACGTTCCCTACCTCCACAACAACCACCACTACGACCACAACGACATCAAACTTATTTACAACGTCAACGGCGTTCTCCACGTCGACAACAACCAGCCCCAAGGAAGAGTCGTCATATTTGACTCCAATTATCTTGGGAGCTGCCGCAGGTACGGTTCTCCTGGGAGCAGGAGCAGCGGGACTTGCTTATTATTTGTCTCAAACTCCACCAATGGTGGACGGCTTTGCTGATGCGGAGTGGGAGAATGAAGAGGAGAACTTCCGAGAGTTTGAGGATAGAGAAGTGGTTACTAGTGTCATCCTCGTGTAAATGCACTAGTGTCACCCTCTGCGTGTAAATGCACATTGTAGGGCAAACACTGAGTGCTCTCAACAAAGAGTTGAGTTCTTTTTTCTGTCCAAGGTTGAACTTTGGAACTTGATTTATTTATTAATTTTTTAAATTTCAATCAATTCGTTTTTTTTAAATTTCAATCAATTCGTTTCCCTTACATTTTTCCAACTAAAAAATCTCATCTCACTCGCGTCGCAATTATGCAATCGCCTCACGTGTAGAATTGATAGACGGAAGGCGATGGAATTGTTCGTGAATCGATTCTGACGGAAGGCGATGGAATTGTTCGTGAATCGATTCTGACGCCCAGAGTTACCCCATGGGTATTCTTTGCAAGTTTCAAGTTTGAAGACTTCAGGGCAGTGAACGCAGATCATCTCAGGACGGCACCAACAACCAATCCTCGCTGGTGAAGAAACAATGCCAGCGAGGATGGCATAAGCTGTCGAAGTAACCAAGGACCCCAAGGAGACTATCGCTGCACTTACGCGTTAGTCATGAAAGCAAGTACACGGTCTTCGTCCATAACTATTATGTTCGCTTGTCGAAAAACGAGTTTCTCCTTGATATTCAGAGATTTCCAGTCCCGCAATTGGTGCGATTCATTCGAATTCGGGAAGTAGAAGCCGTGCACCGATCGTATCTCAGGCTGTCGATGGGGGGAAAGCAAATTTTGCGGCAAAGGAGCAATAAGACGAAAGTTTGACTGCCCAAAAAAGGAGTGCGTGAAGGAAAGGATCCTGCGTGACAAAAAAGGAGTGCGTGAAGGACAGGATCCTGCGTGACGGATTTCCGCTGTTGAGCACGGCAAGGCTTCTCCAATACCAGAAGACGGGAATGCAGATTTTTTTAAGGTAGGATTGGTTTTTCTCGAGCGGATTATCCGCTTCATTTCAGGTCGGGCTGTAGAAAACAGTTTCTCTTTGCCCACAACCTCTGACTGGACGCCTTCTACATGAGTAAGATCATTCAACCAAAGAATCCCTTCACTGATCAGCAATCTCGAATAATTTGCCGATGAACATCCGTATTTGGACGGATCTTTTACTCAAGGAAGAGAAGGGTAGACAAAAAAAAACACCATGAATCACAAACATGAAATTGCAATCGATGATCATGGAACGGTCACTACAACATATATTTTCATACATTCAAGCATTCACGAATCAAACCAACGGTTGGAACTTTCCAACATGGCTTCCGCATTTTTCTCCTTGTCCACAGCAGCTTTTCAAGTTTCTTCGTTGAGCGACGAAGCTTTTTTTGGCCCCTTCGTCGTAGCACTGCCTTTCGAACAGCATCGCGTGCAACTATTGAAGGCTTGAATTTGCAACTATTGAAGGCTTGAATTTGCAACTATTGAAGGCTTGAATTTGCAACTATTGAAGGCTTGAATTTGCAACTATTGAAGGCTTGAATTTGCAACTATTGAAGGCTTGAATTTGCAACTATTGAAGGCTTGAATTTGCGGACGTTCTTCTTCTTGGCCAAGTACCTCTGAATGTGTTTCGCAACCGCGTCTAATTGCTTAGGAGTATAAGCCCTCGACCGTGGCATGGACAGCTCCTTTGCTCGCCTGAACTAGATGAAGAGCTCAGTGCTCGGACCCAACAATCAGTTCTTACAATGCTGATGCCACGGCGGCCATTTCCAAGCACTTCCATGGACAGATAGTGAAGGACTCGTTGAAGAGGGACGTGACAGCTTATTCATCATTGGCAGCCCTTGTTGTTGAAAACAGAACCATTAAGCACACAACCAGCGGTTTGCTCACCTCAAGAGCATAGCGTTTGGCTTCTTCCCGCAAGGCATCCACGTTTCTGAACAGACGGGATTGCCACGTCGCACACCCTCCGTACATATTGGGTTCTCATACGCTTCCTCTTAATTTCCTCAAAAAGGTTGAAAAACTCTTGCCGTACATCGTGGCTCGCGGGAGCTTCTCTTTCGATTGGTGGACCGATTGTAGAATTACTGCTATTGAAAGGGTCTTCGCCAAGAAAGTCGACAATGTCTTCTAGGCACTTCTTTCCAAATTGTTGTGGTACTCCGGCTGCCCTCTGAAAGAAAAAGTCATCAGTCCTCAAATACGTTGAAGTCTCACAGATAGTCAAGATTGACGTCCGCCACAGCTAGTGTAAGTGCGCGAAACACCCATCGCGAGTTTCGGTTGACGTCCTCCTGATTATTAAAATCTCTCTCAATCGGACACGAAGTCGATCAAGGACAGGATTCTCTTCTTCGGGTCTCTGGATCTTCCACTCAGTAAGACTCTTCAAATGAATCGATTCTCTGAAGTGTCCCCTTAATGTGGATCTAATGATCCATTCAATAATATCATTCTCGTTAAGAAGGCTCTAACAGGGGAAAGACGTGGACCGATCGACCCATGGGGGAAATCTTGGGTTGGATCATCTGATAAAGCAAGAAGACCGTCCAGAAATGCGGTCTTCATTTTGAATCCTTCCAGTAGTAAAGCACCAATCATTGGCGATGTGTTGACTGGAACGTTAAATGACTGTTCAGTCGTGCATCCAAGTATTCCTGTGTCCCGAAATCTGCATGAATTTGTGCACTGGCTCCTAATCCTCTTATATGTGCTTTCGCTGTGGTCTAGTAACTCGTTCTTTTTACAGAATTAACAATCGTTAAGAAACCTCTCGGTCCTTTCTAGTGACACCACGTCGATGTTTATCACCTTCGTCCTCTGCGCCGTTACCCACGTGTTCGTTCCCGCGTTCCCATGGACAACATCGGCTCTCGACCTTCTTCGCCAGTCAGTTCAGTGGTCAATGTGATGCGTTCCAGGAGTGGTTGGTTCACCAGAACATTTGAACAATTTGTAGTTGTCATTTGTCTGCCTGTGCACGTTTCCTTGAACCTTATTGTTTACTCGATCAACCAGGGTTACTTGAGGAATGTCATGTTTGAGATGATGTCGTATTCATGATCAGCACCCCACCAACCGCGGAACGAGAGCCGTCTCTCTCGTCTCAGTGCCCAGCCAAAGATCCACACAACACCCTGGCTGCCTCAGTGTACTTGGAGCACTGTATTGCTCGCTACAGTTCATTCAAGAATGCGCCGACGAATGTCAGTATCATGACAAACTTCGGAAACAATAAAAACTTCTCCCTAGAACCGAACCCGACTTCTCACAAGAAAGGACTGTTAGACCCGGCTTGCTTCGCGCCCCTTTTTCCCCCCACAAAACGCAGACTTCTTCTCTAACACGAAACTTGAAAACTCTGTTGTAAGGTCCTGGTCCAACTCTGTCAATCATAATAGGTTATGAGCCCTATCTTCCACTACCTCTCTACACACCCGCTTCTCCTCTGCACTCTTTTTTGGCCTCAAAAACAAGATGAATTCCATTCCACTCCCTCAACTCATATCATCAAACTATTTTCACCTGGAAGAAACAAGCCCAGGTGATTTGATTCTTGGTCCTTGTCGTGAAATTTCCAAATCGGTAACAATGGCCGTCCGCCAATGCCAGACCAGAAGATTGGAGAAAAACTCCCACATGGTTGCTGGTAGGGAGTTGATTGTGTTATTCCATCCCGATAGGACTTCGGTCCTCAAACTTCGAAATAAGACCTTCGATATGGCCACAACTTTATCTTCGCAAAAGGTCCTTCCAGTAAAGACACCTTGAAAATATCCCAGCGATCAATAGATAAAGAATTGAACAACATTGCTGACAATCTTCTCAGATGTGCGAATCCAGGGTTGGAAAGTCGCAGAGAACGTTTGATGATGTGCTGGCGCGCTTGCAGGTCAAAATAAATGGCAGGATGAAGTACAAAGTACCAACTATTGAAATTGCACCAACTAACACTATGGCAGAGCTAGGTTCGTTCAATAATGTGGGAGAGCTGGGTATATCTCCGCCTGTGATAGTGGTGGTGTATTCGGCTGCTTTTGTAGAGTAAATCTGCACAATGAGTTGAAGATCCGTTCTGCAGAAGCATGGATGGAGTGATAAAAAATAGGAACAAAAATAAAAAAGGAGCGAGCAATGAAAAATAAGCACGCCATGAGTGCAATCCATCGAGATACATTAAAAAATGCCTTCAAAAAGTCCTTATGGCAGAGTGCAATGAGGATAAATACATAGAGGGAATAGAACAACATGGGGTCCACGGAGTTCAAATAAAATGCGGAGGCTTTCATGGCGTACTCCGTCAGGAGACGGGGTGAAGACATTTTACCAAACGTACGATTGATAATAGCAAAGGTTTCAGTTGGCAGAAAGGCCGAAACTGAAAGGGGGGAAGGAATTCCGTATCGAGACACGTGAGAAACACCGGACAATGTTTTGATCACAACATTGCCTCCTCTCGTCACACCATTTGATTATCTCGCATGGTCCTTTGCTTCATCATGAGGCGTTGGCCCTTTAATATCGATGTCTTCCGTGTCTGTTGATGTCCGGTACTGGAGGGTGATGGAGGAGATGTTGAAGAAAATTCGTTCTGGCAGGAAACGAACGCTCCGAACCAAAATGGGATTTTTCCTCCAGACCGCAAATTACTGCAGCAGTCGGAAGCTACCGCGAAACATCAGAGAGCGGATGAAAAGAAGAGAAAGATCAACAACAAAACAATGGACCCTGACGTGTTGACACAATTGCCGGAAATGTTTGAGGAATTGAAGAATTTACAACTGAATCGAGCGAATGTCAATAAGTCAACAACAAATGTTGACTCAAATAAAACTATTATATCACAAATATAACTATTTTATTTGTGAATCTCTTTAGAAACGTCGGGCGGTTCGAGTAGA